CCAGTGAAACCCAAAACATTCATATTCATGCTTGCCTACGTTGAATGAAGGGAGCTGTAGGAATCCTACATATCCCTGAAAATGTTACCAAAATATTCTGGAAATATGATTACAAGGCAAAAGACTGGCTATTCATATATTCATACATTGCAGTTAATACCATGCAGTTAAGCTAATGCAACTACACTGCATTTCATACAGGAAAATATTGCCAAAATTTGCTTCTTTTCTGAAGAAAAAAACCTATTTTCTGACACTACATAATAATGATAAAATAGCTATAATAATATTTGTACCACATTAGCTTCCAACATTTTAGGATTTACACATTATATTTGAAGATTTTTTAAATTTCAAAACAGGACTAATATACATTATGCTCAAACTCCAATACAGGTAGTCCTCAACTTATGTTCACAATTGGGCCCAAAATATCTGTTGTTAGATGAGACATTTGTTAAATCAGCCTTGCCCCATATTATGACCTTTCTTGCCACAGGTGTTAAGTGAATCATTGCAGTTGTTAAGTTAGTAATATAGTTCTTAAGTGAATCTGGTTGCCCGAATGACTTTGCTTGTCAGAAGGTGACAAAAGGTAATCACATGAACTCAGAACACTGCAACCATCATAAATATGAGTCAATGCCAAGCGTCTCAATTCTGACCACATGACCATGGGGACGCTGCAACAGAAGTGTGAAAAACAGTCATAAGTCATTCTTTTTCAGTACTATTGTAAATTTGAACAGTCATAAAATGAACTGTTATAAGTTGAGGACTATCTGTATCAGCAGGAAACCTCTGTACTATGTACTATTTGTCCATCAATTCACTATTTTGAAACCTACCAGTAGAACAATGGTCCCAATCCGTGATCTACACATTACTGTTAGTTTGCAAAGGAATACTCTTTTTCATTACTGATTTGTACTCATATACCCACGCCTTAACAGATAGCATAAATAATCAGAAAGAGGTAGTACCATGAGTAATCAGGCCCTCTGCCATGAAGGGCTTGAATTGCACCCAAATCCACTGGCAAAAATTATCTCACAAAATAATTGGGTTATTAGGAGTACCAAGACATAGCTAGAACTACTATATTTTGGACAGCTATAAACTCTGATTGGTCTTCAAAGGCAGTCCCATGTAGAGCATGTTGTGAAGACATCATGAATGACTGTGAATTTGCAGCACTCCTTATATTCTTTCCTGCAATTACCATGTAAGGTAGATGAAAAGGTTAAAGTCACCCAAAGAACTACGTGGTTGAGGATGGACTTGAATCTAGGTCTCCATAGTCTGACACTAATACCTTAGCCACACTGGGCAAAGAGAAAATTATTTGGAAGAAAAGCTTTGAATTTCCTGAAACTCTTAGCACATTATTTCTCTGCTATACATTGCTGTTCATTAAACTAGTCTGACTTTTTTAAAGAATTCTGTACCTGAAATCTGAAACAAAATAGTCTGCTTTAAGTGTCTAGCAGAGAGTTGTTATGCTAATGATGCTAGCATAATGTTATGCAATGCTAATGTTGATATGCTGAAACATATCTATGGCAAAAATCACCCAAAATTGCCAAATCCTACAATATTTTCATTTGAAATCTTGTGAGTTTTGGGTTCTTGACTGAGAACTTGTATGATTTTCCACAGAAATTCAGAATGTTTTGAGACAGGCTGAAGTTACAGTATTTAATATGAAGTCCTATGTATTTGGAACGGATATAATTGGTACACTACATATATCTATGTCCAGTTTTTCAGGACAGAACTGTCTTGAAAACAGTTGCCCTTTGCTCTCCAAGCATGAACTGAGAGTTCAGAAGGACCCCAAACTACACACAAGCTGCCATGATGTGGTACTTCCTGTCAAGAAGCAAAATATCATGTATCCATAATCATTTAGTCTTGCCAATTGACCCCGAACCTGTTCTTGACTATTAGACATGGACAAAAAGACCAAAAAGAGAAAGATGTTCCTGTACACTTTGTTTCTGGCATCACTCATTCCTCATATCAACCCTGTTCCTCAACACTGAATGTAGGCAAGAACCACAGTGTCCTTCAAGCTGTTGCCTAATAAAAGACAAAATAACTCAAAGAAACAGGTTATTTTCCTAGTGGATGTGTTATTCGCCACTTAGTTTGTGTATGTTTTCTATTGTGCTCCTTGCCCCACTCTACAAATATGTTAGTTTATTCTTTTATTCCAAACCTCTCTTATTCCTCTTCATTTAAATGGCAGATCATGAATCTACTTTCATGTGCTTGTTTGCTATGTGTTTTTAAAACAGGGTAATCCAAGGAATGTGAACTGATTTATAATGACAGAAAAGTCAGTATGGAATCCCATAAATATAACACCAACAGACCACATATCAATTATCTATCCCAAAGAAATGTTAGGTTGCACCTGGTCTGTACTTGGAGATTAAGATTAGGAACATTCCACATGTTTTGATTGCCTGACTCATGTTAATGATGAAGTCTAAAAGTCCCATTCAAAGATAAATATTCAGCTTCCTGCCCTCAGATTCACATTATCATTACCCAGGGGAAGTATCTTGTGCTTTTTCCTACATAAGTTGTTCTTGTGTGACATCTTTTCAACGTATGTTTCCATACTCCAATGCACCTACTTTTGTGAAGGTTTCACTTTTAAGCACTTCCAAGATATACAGCTCTGAAAAGGGCATCAAGTCAGATGCTAAATAGGCTGGCATAGCTCTGAGGAATATAATGCACATATTCATCAAAAGCCTTTGAACAAATCATTAAAAAGCAGAGAACTACAAGTTACTAGTGCCCTGAGAGAAGCAAAAAATTACATGCTGTCCACTCAAGTGAGTAATTGCCAGAACATACAGTAGGGCAGTGTATGCAAGACAGCAGTTTATCTGTACACTGAAGCCTTGAACCCATAGCATCACACACAGATACGCTTCCCTGGAGGAAAAGGATCTGCATGTATGTAGCTGCGAGTCATTCCTAGACTTGAGAAACATTTTTGTGGCAACAGAACATTGTAAAACAAGTGTCATGTTTGTTTGATTTGGGATTTATAATGAATTCTTCAGAATGGGCTACAATAACCCTTTCTCCGCCAATGTTTTAAAAGAAAAATCCAATAGAGTCAGCATTCTCATCTGGCAAGCATATCTATTGAATTCATTCACAATGTTATATTAAATTACAGTGATTGAGGAAGCCAATCAGGCCCAAGCAATGGGTTTGATTTAATACCAATAGCCCTGGCTTTCAACACACTTTTCTACAACTCATTATTCAGATTTGTATACCACTTTTCCTCCAGGTGCTCAAGCTTTCTCTCTTTAAATGTTTTCTCATTATAATCACAATATGAGGTACATTAGGCTGAGAAATAACCATTGTCCCAAAGTCGGCCAATAGATTTCCATGAATGATCATGAGTTCAACAGCCTGTAGACTTCTATACTACACTTGCTCTCCTCTGAAAGTTTATTATATTTATTTATTTAATTTGATACCACCTGACTTCAATATTCTATCTATAATTGCCATAGAACAAATACTTCATTTTTAGAACTAGAACACTATTATATACTCAATGTTACATTTTAAGGAATATAATCACTCAGCTATAGCACTTAAAGTATTGTTTTATCTCTTTAAAAAGAGATGTTTATGAGTGCTTTTACCATTATGGCAACCATTTTGTAAATAGGTAAATGATATTAACTCAAAACCTAATGATAGTAACTCAAAATCTAAATATTTTCACTAGCCCTGTTCCCATATTAAGTTGCTCTAAGTTATTCTCTGTATATTATAATAAGCTACAAACCTTTCTTTATATGGTATCTGTTTTAAATTTATAATCACCAATCACTGAGTCTGTACTATTTTAGTCAGACCCAAATATTTAATGAATAGAATTCCTATTCAGTGAGAATTGCATCATAGAACTTTTCAGATTTCTATGGATTGTGTCATTAATAATCAAGTTTTAACACTTAACTAAATTGAACAGGATAAAAAAACCCAATATAAGATACATTTTTAAATAACCATAAAACACAATTTCGCATTTAAAAGAATCTCATAGCTGACTGGTTTCGTATCTCAGAGAACTCCTGGTAAATCATGAAGGCCTTCATTTCATCTCAAAATCTTATCAAAGGTATGCTAATCATAAGACAAGAACCATACACAAAAGAACATTGAACTGCCTTCTGCTTTGACTCATACTTCACATATCACTTGGACATCTGTGGAATCTACACTGGCTTCCCATGTTCACACTGCATTAAACATGCAAATATCCAAAGGTAAATGCAAAAGAAGGAACAGTAAGTTTCAGAGGACATATTCTTGCTTCCTAGATATGAAGTTAGTGGTGATATCTTAACCCAAATTGTCAGTAGCTATGTCTGAAAAGAAGGATTTTGTCTTAATGAAATATTGGAATAGCCATCAAGGTTCTCTCCATGAAGGGATGAAAAGGACTTGATGGAGATAATGTGATACAGAAGATCTGAGCACAAGCTCTCTTGTGTGTAGTTTTCTCTGTGTTGTAACTTTAATGAAATAATTGGACTGGAGAAGTCAATTATAAATCAAATAAACTATTTTTCACTGGATAAGTAAATGTACTATAATTTCATTTTCCCAATTAACCCATCTCCCAAACCTTGATAATATTTTTTTGGTGGTACGGAAAGAAAAATATACAACATAAATATGCTTTCTTTATATATACAGAGAGGCAAGGAGCAACTTGTGGGCCATTATGATGCATATTAACATATTATGCATTATAGAATGTATAATATATGAACAATATAGCAAGGGTTTTAACCTCTCCCTTTTCTGGGGCAATTATCTGATCTAGGCAGCTCATGGCTCATTCTTAGTCCTCTTTTAAGTGTTTAAAAACAGAATTTTCTAAATACATACTTCTGAGCTCATGTCCTAGGAAACCATTTCTGTAAATCTGAATACAGGGCAGGACAGAAGGGTATATCTATGGTAAGTAATATGTAATAGAGCTGAGAGAATATCAAAGAAAGTCTTTAGGTCACAACAGAGGGCATGATTTCATCTAAACCAGTGTTTCTCAACCTTGATGGCTGGAGAATTCTGGAAGTTGAAGTCCACACATCTTAAAGTTTCTGAGGTTGAGAAACACTGATCTAAACAGTCTAATTAAATGTCTAGTATTTACAGGTAGGAATGGAGAAAATGTGTGAAATTTTGGAAAAATGCTGAAAGTCAGTTCTGACATTCCAGGAAAGTAAATAGATCATAGTTGCTGATGTTCTGTGTCAGTGCAAAAATTAGAAAAAAGGTGGAAGAAAGGTATATTGTGATTCAGGGATATATACAGTATATTCAGCTGAAAAATCTTCACTGTGCCATGGTACATGACTGTGCAAAAAAAAAAAAAAGAGAGAGAGAGAGAGAGAGAGAAGAGATATTGTTAGAATACTTTGATTAAAAAATCAGTAATATATGTTCTGGGAAGTAATTGTTCCTATTTTCTCCACTTTGTAATAGCATTCATGAAAATCCTATCTCCATCTTCTCTTCAAGCACTACAAATTGCATAAACTTTATCACAATATATACTATTGCATTTTAAGACTAGTAACATAAGACTTTATAAAAAATGGACATGCTTTTCAAAGTTTTAAAAAAGTATGCATGTGGTTTTATACTTAATTTTCATGTTATATATGAATGGCCTCTACATCTTTTTTTCATGTGGTTAATATCACTCAACCATGGCTGATATTTTAGTAGTTCAACTTCATGTTATTTTTATACAAAATATACCCTTGAGATAATTTCAATCATTCCCAACCTCAAACTGAATTTAATAATAAAGAACAGTCTATTGAATTAAACTACATATGCCAAATGTTATCATTGGCACAAAGATTAATTTTCCCTCAGCAAAAATTAACAATTTAGTCTGTAGCATAGCTACTAGTGCTTATTACTTGAAAGGAACAAGTAGAAACTAATGAGACAAGATCCATATATATAAATAATATGATGATATTGAAATGTATCTAGACTGAAACAAACAATAAATCAGTATTATCTTGCATAACCAATACTGTACTCATACTTTAATTATATTAATATTTCATGGATTTTGTGATGCAGTTATTCAGTTTCCATATAAATAGAAACCTGATGTGTTCAGCACTCTGTAGTTGTAATGGAATGTGTGAATGACCTTGGGAAAGGGGGAGGGGAGATGCTGCCTAGGTAACAATCAGACAAGAGAGGAAGGAGCCCCTAGTGGATCAAGTACTTAAAAGTGGCAGCAGAAAGTTTGTGCCTTCATACTTGCCAGATTGTGTTAATGTGGCCTTGCAATAAAGTAGAATTGTTCTCTTAATTCTGTTTCTTGTATGGTTTATCTGGGATGATACAATAGCATCTCAGTGCTGATATGCAGTGGATCACCCAATTCTTGAAGTTACAAGTCTGCAAAATGTACCGCAAGACATAATGAACATAAATTGTGGGTTTCGGAGTAAATAAAGAATAGCAATAGCACTTAGACTTATATACCACTTTACAGTGCTTTACAGCCCTCTCTAAGTGGTTTACAGAGTCATCATATTTCCCCCAACAATCTGGGGAAAATATCCTTCCCACCTCAGAAGGATGGAAGGCTGAGTCAACTTTGAGCCTGGTGAGATTTGAACTGCCAAATTGCAGGCAGCCGGCAGTTAGCAGAAATAGCCTGCAGTACTGCACTCTAACCACTGTGCCACCATGGCTGAATAAATGGTTATGCTATATCCAACCCTCCTCTTCTACATTTTTAATGTTTTAATGTTTTTTTCCGAAAAGTATAAGATCTATGTTTAGACACAACAGGTAGATCATAAGGGCAGTGCATTTCTGTCCCTGGAATTTATTAGTTTGGCAATTTGATAGATGACAAATATGCCATTCCAATTACCTGACTAGTTGGCATTTCCCCCACAGCAACCACCAGCATTTCAGAGAGTCATTGGTGGTGGCTTTCCTTTTAACAATCATCAGATGGTGGAAAGAGAAACTAGGGTAATCCACCAACTGCTATCCTTAACTTGTCCTGTATTAAATCAGCACAACAAGTCAGTAGCTTTGTTCTTGTAGCAAAATTGTAACTAACAATAAAAGCATGTATATTTTCTGCCAACTTTATGACTGCAGAGTACCTCTTTAACAAAGCACCTACCTACAAACACCTATAACTAAATAAGTGAAAAGCCCAGCACATTCAACCGATAATTTCTCCAAAATTTCTTTTGCTGTGAAATAATTTATAAATAAAATTCTCTTTTATTAAATGTTTCGTGGCCCAATATTAGGTTATGCTAGTTATGCCCTACTGGATGTTCAGTATAATATTAAGATAAATTCAGGAATGAGGCATTGTAAGATTTTGGGGATAGGATTTCTAAATATGAATACCAGTTGGTAAGCAAGATTGGTTTCTTTCATGCAATGTGACCCCCCCCATGTATGTATGTATGTATGTATATGTGCATGTGTATGTGTATATGTATGTATGTCTATCTATTTTTCCATCTACTTATCAAGTTTTTAAAAAAAATATTTTATTAAAGGATCAAGTAAGTTATGCATCTGGAGACTCTAGGGGAAAATATTTTGCAATATTATAGAAGGATAAAATAATTAAAGAGATGAAGAATAATCATGTTGACCATGCTTAATTAATATATTTCTTGTTAATTAAATCAAATTCAGATTTTGTCCAAATCACACCTGGTTTTTGGAATGCTAATCTCAGTATGCAATTCAAATTCCAATATTAGCCCATAGTAAAACATATGAAGAACAGTTACAGACATTGGGTATGTCTAGTTTAATGAAAAAAAGGTCTAAGCGTGACAGCAGTGACAGCAGTGTTCCAATATCTCAGGGGCTGCCACAAAGAAGAGAGGGTCAACCTATTCTGAAGGCAGGACAAAAAGCAATGTATAGAAATTGATCAAGGATCTAAGGACTCACCTAAAACTAAAGAAAAATTTCTTGACAGTTAGAACACTTAACCAGTGGAATGACTTGCTTCCAGAACTGTGGATTCTCCAGCACTGGAAGTTTTTAAGAAGAGACTGGACTGAAATTTGTCTGAAATGATATAGGGTTTCCGGCCTGAGCAGGGGGTTGGACTAGAAGACCTCCAAGATCTATTCCAACTCTGTTATTCTATTATAACCTGAAGGAAGTTGTTTAACTTAGTTTTAAAAGGTATTATTAAATATTCTGAAATATATAAGAATAGTTTAAAGTACTCTTCTGCTGTAGTTATGTTTTAGTGTTTTCTGATTGTAGGGAACTCAGAGAATCCTGTCAATGAATAGCATTTGCATATTATTTATTTATTTATTTATTTATTTATTTATTTTATTATTCATATTTCTATGCCGCCCACTCGCCGAGGACTCTGGGCGGCTTTCACCAAAGACAGTATACTAAATAGCATATTGGCCCCAACAATCTAGCTAGGTCTGTGGTAAATAAGGCCCCCCTCATTCACGATCTTATCTAGGAGGGGGGAGCGGACCTGGCTGGTATTACGGAGACCTGGTTGGGACCGGAGGGAGGAGTCCCTCTGGTCGAGATGTGCCCACCAGGTTTCAGAGCATTCCATCAGCCGAGAGACCAGGGGAGGGGCGGGGGGGTGGCAGTTATTATTAAAGAAGGTCTTGGTCCGAGGGAGACCACTGTGCCTCAGACTGCCGGATGTGAGTCCCTCTTTGTGAGATGGGGTCATGGGGTTCAGATGGGCTTGCTGCTTGCGTACCTGGCTCCCTGCCGCGTGGCAGCAGCCCTGCCTGAGCTACTCGACGTGATAGCCACGGTGGCAGTTGATACACCCAGGCTTATGGTCATGGGTGATTTCAACTTGCCATCCGTTGGTGAAACGTCTGGGATGGCTCGGGAGTTCATGGCTTCCATGACGGCCATGGACCTGACCCAGTTAGTTCATGGCCCCACTCACGGGGGGGGGGGACACACTCTAGACTTGATTTTTGTCTCTGGCCAGTGGTTGAGTGATCTTGTTATAGGGGATATAGACATGAAACCCTTGTCATGGTCAGATCACTCACTCCTTCGTCTGGACCTTCGTACCGCTACACCCCGCCGCAGGGAAGCGGACCCAATTAGATGGGTCCGCCCCAGGCGCCTGATGGATCCTGATAGGTTCCAGACGGAGCTTGGGCCAATTCCTGATGATCTGGCACACGACTCGGCCGAGGACCTGGTAGCTGCCTGGGATCAGGTGGCTGGTGGGACCTTGGATCGAGTCGTGCCTTTGCGGCCTCTGACCCGCTGTCGATCCCTCGTGGCTCCTTGGTTCACCGAGGAGCTGAGGGAGATGAAACGCCGGAAAAGACGCCTAGAGAGCGGTTGGAGGGCCAGTCGCGCTGAATCTGACCGAACACTGGTAAGGTCGCATATTAAGACCTACCTAGTGGCAATAAAGACGGCAAAGTTTAATTACTTTTCCGCCTCTATTGCGTCATCAGGGAATCGTCCGGCAGCCCTGTTCAGGGTAACCCGCTCCCTGCTCCATCTGGGAGCGCGGGAGGATCCCTTGGAAGGCAGGGCGGAGGATTTCGGACAATACCTGTATGACAAAATCGCTCAGATCCGGGGGGACTTGGACTCTGACTGGGTAGATCAGGGCAGGGTGACGAGGAATAGTCTTGAGAATGTTATCTGGGAGAAGTTTGATGCTGTGATTCCCGATGATGTGGACAGGATTTTGGGGAGACTTAGTGTGGCCACATGTTTACTGGACCCGGTCCCTCCTGGTTGGTACTGGCCTCCTGGGAGGTTACACGAGGCTGGCTCCAGGGTGTTATCAACGCTTCATTGAGTGAGGGTCACTTCCCCGCGGCCTTGAAAGAGGCGGTGGTGAGGCCTCTCCTCAAGAAGCCGTCCCTGGATCCGGCAATATTGGCTAACTATCGTCCTGTCTCCAACCTTCGCTTTCTGGAGAAGGTTGTTGAGAGTGTGGTCACGCGACAGTTTCCGCAATTCCTGGAGGAAACATCCTATCTGGATCCGTTCCAGTCTGGTTTCAGGCCTGGGCACAGCACGGAAACGGCATTGGTCGCGTTGGTTGATGATCTCTGGAGGGCTCGGGACAGGGGTTGGTCCTCTGTTCTGGTCCTGTTAGACCTCTCAGCGGCTTTTGATACCATCGACCATGGTATCATGCTGCACCGGTTGGAAGAGTTGGGGATGGGGGGCACCGTGTTACGGTGGTTCTCCTCCTTTCTCTCCGACCGGTCACAGTTCGTGTTGGCAGGGGGGCAGAGGTCGACCTCGAGGCCTCTTATATGTGGAGTGCCTCAGGGGTCGGTCCTCTCGCCCCTCCTGTTCAA